TGGCCTCGTGCTCTGAGGGATCTCACTCTCTCGTCTCTCACAGCGCGGGCGTTGCGCCTCGAACATCTGCCTCCTCGTGCCTGGATTTTCCCGACCACGTCGTCTCCCGTTCCGACCTCTTGGGACCCTACACTGCTGACGGATCGAATGGTGGAAGCCTTTTATGCGACCCGTCCGTGGGACTACCTCACGCGACGCGCTCAGCCGCTGACCTTCTACGCCCAAGACCCCCATTTCCAGCCCTTCATCGCGCGCTACGAGGTGCACCTGGATCATTGGGCCCAGGCGTACTGGAAGTCGATGCATGAGTTTCCGGTGCCGAACACGCCCGCGTGAACGCGGTGGCGCAGTCGTCGTAACTCGCGTCGGTCACAAGCCGGTGACCATTTGGTGGGTACGTTCCAGCTGCTCCTGATACTCTTACAGGCAGGGCGCGTGGACATGGGCGTGCTGTTGGACGTCATGGTACTCCTGTTTCCTTCGGGTCGTTCCCGTGTCGGGCGTTGGTACCTTAACTCGACCCTGGAGGTCGCGTTAGCCGACATCGACCCGCGCGAGCCGTGGTGTCGCTTCTTCCGTACTCAGCCTGACGCGGCCGGCAAATCTACCGTGGAACGCGAGCACCCGGCTTACGCCGCCTTGCGTCCAAGTTTTGGAACGCGGGCAGCCACAACCTTAGGAGTAGCAGTAGCTATCCACCTTGACGTAGACCGTTTGCTATTCTTGAATCCAATCTGTCCATTCTTTTTTGTTTCTTGTTATAGAGACCCTCCGTCGCCCTATCTTCGGCTGACGAGCCGGTCCACCAGACTTCCCACAATTCATCTTCCCAGGGACTAACCAAAACCGGCACCTGGTTCCTCCACTTCCTCCCGTCGACGACCACACCGTCGACTTCAGCACCCACTGGCGTTCAACTCTCGGTAGACGCATCCTCGTAGGATTGTATCACCTCGAATCGGCATCGACCTGTGCGTTTCCACAGGAAGTCATACAAGAGTCCCCCGCAGTTCAAGTCCAGCTCATCCACCCAGCTTGTCTCTCAGTATTCTCGCCACTTCACATGAAACTCGCGTCGCGTTCGTCCATAGCGCGTCATGCGACCTTCGCGTACATCTAGAATTTGTTCGACCTCATACACGCCGTCGTCCGCGTCGTGCGCCTCCCAGCGGTCCTCCGGGAGGAACTCTTCGTCGAAGTCGAAACGCTCCTCTGCTGGCACTGTCAGTCGCAACTCGGGCCGCGACGGGAATTCACGGACGGGCTTCAGCTTCGGGACGTGCACGATTGGAAACAATTGGTATGGTGTTCCGTTGGTCTCCAGACTCACGGCGTACGCGCTCACGTGCATGTTTGCGCGCGTACCCGGGCTTGACTCGATCAAGATACAGCCAGAATTGTGATCCGCGTCGTATCGCGTGTTCCGTCGCGCGCGTTCTGCCGTGTGACCCGCGCGTCTACTGCTTCGCGGATCAACTCGAGTGCTTGTGCCCGTGCGGTCTTGTAGTGACGCTGTATACACATCGTCCATCGTCGAGCTTCTACGTCTCGATGTGAGGTGTTGCCAATCGCTAGTGTCGCTTCCAGGGTGGACCGTGGGTCCCAACCATGTACCAAGAAAAACGGTGTTTCGTCCCGTGTTCGACCGTGGGCGGTACTCAGGGCGTAGATGAGCCGTTCTGCGTATTCGTCCCAGTCGCGCTGATCGTTGTCCGTGATGTACATCTTGATGACCCTCGTGATCGTCTGCAACATGCGCTCCGCCGCCCCGTTAGGCGATACGCGCGAGTCGCTCGTAGCCGATGACCCATTAGTTTATTGAAGGCCCTGAAGAAATCGGACATGACGCCCAGCTCTCGGTCGTGGCGAATAGCTTCACTAGCCCCGAAACGCATGAAGACTGCCTCCTCATATGATTCGGCGACTGTCTGCGCGGTTCGGGACGCACTTGCCTTCGCGATAACGAAACACGTAAACAGGTCAACCCAGATTAGCAACTCCGTGTTTCCCTTGTGTGGCGCGGGCAATGACGGTATGTGGTCCATCGCGACCACTTGGAATGGATACGTCGCTATGATATTCCCGGGAGATTCCCTTTGGATTGTCGGTCTGCAATTGCCCGACTCGCAGTCGACGCACTCTCCGACGTGACGCTGTACGGTTTTGAAACCCTGGTCAGTGAAATGATGTCGTGTCGTACGTGTCGGTACGTTCGGCCTATACCTTGGTGCCCGCCTTCTAGTATCGCGTGATAGTGGTGTAGCACGTCTTGCTGGAGGGTCTCTGGCACGACCAACTTCATGATCAAGTCCCGGTCTTCTGTCGATTCGTCTCCCCGTACGTGGTAGTACAGCAAGCTACTCTCTCCCACCTCGTATTGTTCTGCGATCTTCACACAGCTCTTCATCTTCGTCCTGCGCCGTGCGGACCCGATCCAGTTTCAGTCGTTGCACCTGTAGTTCCTTCAAGGATTCCGGCTGCCTCCGCGTGGTTTGGTGGAGTACGTCGCGCGACCGGGTGGTCACGGGACAGACTCTCCCCGTCCCGCGTCTCTCGTTGTCTGGACCGCGCGTTTCAAGCTCAGCGACGTGGTCGTCTGTACCGCGCGTTTCACGCTCTAAAGCGGGTAGCGTACTTCTCCCAACCGATTCAGCGTCTTCAGATCCTCCATCACCTCGACGCTATGGACATCTTTACTTCCTTGGCGTTGGAGCGTCTGTCCGGCCAACATATCTGCACTCGCGTTCCAATCCCGTCGGACATGCAGAAATTCATGCCCGGGCCGTTCACGCAGCGCGTTCCAAACCTGTTGTCTCAACAGCTTCAATCCGGGAGATTTACAGTCCATCTCCCCTCGCATTTGGCGAAGCACCAGGTTGGAGTCACCGCAAATGATTAAGCGTGCGATGGTCAAGTCTTCTAGTAGCGAGAGCCCGAGTAGCATACCTCGGTACTAGGCTTCATTCACCGTAAGACCTTCCGCGTATCCAGACGCGGCTTTTACCACGTCCAAATTCGGCAGTTGCCAGACTGCTGCGCTGAACGCCCCACCCTCGCATTTGACGTGGGACGATCCGTCGAAGTTGATCACGTGGAGGTTCTCGGTCGGTCCGATTTTCGGGACCGGGAATGCGGCCGTCTTAGACGGGCGTTTTCGAGGTGCGATATCTTCCAATGTGGAATCCACATGAGCCCTCGGTGTAATGCTTGCAGCCAACGCTCCCAGAATTTCTTCCTCTCCTTTCGCCGATCGGAGGATTTCCAATCGCCAGGGGGAGAGGATGGCGACCTATTGCGACAAGCGACCTTGCAGCCCTTTAGACCGGAATAGCCAACCCAGGGTTGTATGTCGGGTCAAAACGCGTATCGTCTTTCCCACCAACGTGTTGTGGCACTCGTTCAAGACGCGCAACAACGCTAGTATCTCCTTCTCGGTGATGTTGTAGTTCAGCTCGTTGGATTTCAACGTCTGGCTAGTGAACTTGATGGGCATATATACTCCATCATGCTCTTGAGTGAAGACGGCTGACACGGCCCAATCACTCGCGTACATAATCACCACAGGTTGTCTATCCGCGTCAAAGTGCTTTAGCATCGGGGTAGCCGCGATCTTACTATGAAGTGTCGCAAACACGTCCCACTTTCCTACGTCACACATCTCTGGATTCGTGGCGCGTTCCTCGAAGTCGCGGGCTGAGAGGGAGTAGAACGCGGTTGCAAAGATCGCGAAGTCTGGAATAAAGCGGTGGTAGTAATTTAGA